CCCATTATCCAACAACTCATTAACTCGAGTAATGGCGAATTAATTAACACGTACGACCCAAGCTCACAAATTTGCCGCAATCACGCCACTCTCTCGTAATTCTATTATAATCCTCTCATAATCCTTTCCTATCCCATCCATAACCTCGCCGAAAGGACTTTACTAAGACGCCCATTGCAGCGAAGAAAGACCATGAATTGACAATGTTGATATAAGAGATGGCCATTCCTCGGTCTCTGGGGATCAAATGGTGAGTTCATTATCTTTTCTAATCAAAGGGATCAGGCATTAACGAAAGAAGTAAATGGGGGAAATAAAGGAAGTCATTAGTTGGGAATGTGAGGCAGAAATCACTTAGAAGAAAGGGGGGGGGGGAGTGGGAGAAAATAATTTAGGCGACTCAGAGTGACGAGGGCGAGTGGCATTAGGAAAAGGGGGCGTTTGATATGGTGAGTGAATGAGAGGAAGAGACAAAGAGAGAGAGGCAGAGAGAGAGAGAGAGAGAGAGAGAGAGAGAGAGAGAGAGAGAGAGAGAGAGACAGAGAGAGAGAGAGAGAGAGAGAGAGAGAGAGAGAGAGAGAGAGAGAGAGAGAATGAGAGAATGATATGTAGAGATATGTATATAGAGATATAGAGAAATAGAGATAGATATATATAAATAGACAGGCAGATAGACCTATAGACAGATAAATAGTTAACTTGATGGCAGGAAGGATTTATGGATTTATGAATCGATAGATATACCCCCCTACCTAGGTTTAACTTACCAACTAACCAACTGCTGCCCTAGAGAAGGATCATAGGTCAGCCTCTCCAGTATAAAGACCCAGTCTACTACATGATGTCAACATAGCGCCAGGTAGTTCGTCAATCACCGCATCGGTGATGGCACAAATTTGCGGTATGCTAGATATATGTGCATGTTATATTTGATATATACATACACACATACATACATACACACACACACACACACACACACACACACACACACACACACACACACACACACATATATATATATATATATATATATATATATATATATATATATATGTATATATATGTATATATATACACACACACACACACATATATATATATATATATATATATATATATATATATATATATATATATATATATATATATATATATATATATATATATATATATATGTATGTATGTATATGTATGTATTTTTATGCATGTATACACACACACATAAAATAAACAGATAGACAGATAGACAGGTTGATGGATAGATAGGAGGAGGGATGGACACAGAAAAAAGGTTAAATAGATTGCTAGATAGAAGGAACAAAGGAAAACACACCGAAGTGAGACAACTTGTTTTTACGCTAATTACACAGAAATACATGTTTTGAGAATCAAATTTCATGCTAATCGTATATCAGCTCCCGTGATTAAAAAAGAAAAATAGCAGATTACTGTGCTGTTTTTTCAGGTATTTTTCGTCAATTATGAAAGACGAAATTAGGTGTTTGATTCCCTAGTGAAGAATATTTGAACATTTGAATATTTGAACACTGAGAATAATCTGAATTTGTAAGGGGTGTTTGTATATGTGCTTGTTTTATAGTGACTGTTCTTTTGTAATGAAAACCAGCTTTTAGTGGATTAATATTTGATTAGCGGGATCCATGAAAATTTCACGAAAAAGGAGAGGCACATTTCTCTCCCTCTTCTCCCTTTTCCTTTCCTTCTCCCTCTACCTTAACCTTTCCCGCTCTAATACCCCCTCTCACTCCCAAATCTTCCTTAAATCCCTTCCTCTCTTCCTATTTTACACCCTACATCTACCCCTCCCCTCCCACTTCCCTCCCCTTTCTCCTTAAACTCCCCCACCTCCCTCGCTTCCTTATTCCCTGTCCTTTCTCTCCCTCCCCTCTTTTTACTCTGTGCCCCCTCTCCTATCTCCCATCCCTTTATCATCTCTTATTCGTCTTTAATGGTCCTCCATTTCCCCTCTGTTTCGTCATCCTCTTCTCCCTTTCCTTTTAAGCTCCCTTCTCTCTTTTTCAACTTCCCCCTTCCATTTTTTCCCTTCCCCTCCTACCTTCCTTCTTAACAAATGTGCATAAACAGACGGTCTAACTACTTCAATGACGTGTACTCGCCTCGGAGAATGATGATAATAATGAGAATGATAACAGTAACAACAGCAACAAGAACAACAACAACAACAACAAGAATAATGATAATAATAATAATGATAATAATAATAACATTAATAACAATAATAACAAAAATAATAATAATAATAATGATGGTAATATTAATACTAATACTACTACTACTAATAATGATAATAATAATTATAATAATATCAATAATAATGATAACAACAACAACAACAATGATAACAGTAATGTTAATAATTATGATCACCCATTTTACATTAAAACGCAGACCGACTTCAAATGCGCAGATAACTTTATTTCAGGCATATGTAGATCGGACGGACGGACGGACACAAACAGGTATATGAGATAATGGTCCAATGTAAGGCATAATTAACAGATTGTTTCTTTCTACTGATTAGTTTAATTAAAAATAGCATTAAATGGAATTCGAAATCTTTGTAACTTATATAAGCATTACACTGTAAATGCAGTTCCTGTTTTCGGATATCATGAAAAATCGTATATTTTGCAATTTCCTGTGCAGTAATTAATTAGGAAACGAAAGATGAAGAAAAATTAAGAAGTACTAAGCCTAATCAAGGTTTCGTCTTCGGTTTGAGATGCAACTCGAAGACCCCCTAATATTTTCCCGAAGAAGCAGGAGATAAGCTTCAATCTTCTCCGTCTGCGTCGAAGGCTTGCGTCGTTCGTCTGGCAGCGATGGTGGGCATTCAGGATTCAGGTGGGCGGTACGACACATGAGCGAACGGTACGGCGCGCTCCGAAATACGAGGCACTAGTTAGTCGTGACTCAGTCTCGCTGGGTCGTACGCTCGCTAGACGACCGAAATCCTTGACAGTGACAGCGCGATCATATCCCGTATGTGGTTTCCATGTGTAGTGTTTTGGTGTAGACAGCTTTTCTATGTGTGTGTGTGTGTGTCGGGTGTAGTGGACGTGACACCTAATTTTGTGTATATAAATGATTTTTTTTTATTATTTATTTATTTATTTATTTTACAATTGTTCATTTTATGCATTCATTAGTTATTCATTCTGACAATCTTATATTGTTATTATTTTTTCTGTCTGTCTCAAAGAAAATGATATCCTCTGATGTGAATTCAGATGTCCCTTCTTTTTTGTTTATTTATTTATTTATTCATTCCCATTTTGAATGTCTTTTGTCATCTGTGTGTCAATAGATGTAGAGGTTCCATCTGGATTTTTCCCTTGTCTAGCCTAACGAGGAGAGGTAAGTACGACTTTCCTTGTGTGTTGCAAAGGAGACTAATATTTCTTTTGTCTGAGTGAATCTGTCGAAATTTATGTGAGGAATTGATATACATGCAAACACACACACACACACACACACACACACACACACACACACACACACACACACACACACACACACACACACACACACACACACACATACACACACACACACACACACACACACATAAACACATACACATATATATGTAGATGTATATATATTGATATGTGTATGTCTTTCTCTCCCTTTGATGATAGTAATACAGATAACGATAATTATGACTCTAATGACAACAACTCGGACAGTTATGATAATTAGGATAGTATTGTTATTGATGATAATGACAGTATTAGCGATATCAAAGATTATGATAATAAAAGTAATGATAATACTTGTGATGATGATGATAGTAATAATGGCAATGGTCAAGATGATAATGGCAGAGATATGTTGATAATAATAATAATAATCACAAATATAATAATAATCGCAAGAAATAATAACAATGATGATGATGATAATGATAATGGAGATGATGACGATAATACTTATAGTGAAAATGATTATAATATTTATTATAACAAAGATGATGATAACAGTGATGAAATATTCAAAAATGATAATGATAATAATGGTAATAATAGTAGTGATAATGGTAATGATAATGGTAATAATGGTAATGATAGTAGTAGTAATCATGGGAATTGTAGTAATAATGATAATAATAACAATAATAATAATGGAAATAACAATAACAATAACAATAAAAATATATAACAACAAAAACTGCTATTACTATTGTTACTACTACTATAAAACAATAATAATGATATTAATAATCATAATAATAATAGTTATAGTATTGATAATGATAATACTGATAATGATTATTATTCTAGTACTATTACTACTACTACTACTACTACTAACGATAATAACAATAATAGTGATAGTAATGATAATGATAATAACAATAATAATGATAACAACAACAGCAACAATGATAACAGTAATGTTAATAATTATGATCACCCATTTTACATTAAAACGCAGACCGACTTCAAATGCGCAGATAACTTTATTTCAGGCATATGTAGATCGGACGGACGGACGGACACAAACAGGTATATGAGATAATGGTCCAATGTAAGGCATAATTAACAGACGGTTTCTTTCTACTGATTAGTTTAATTAAAAATAGCATTAAATGGAATTCGAAATCTTTGTAACTTATATAAGCATTACACTGTAAATGCAGTTCCTGTTTTCGGATATCATGAAAAATCGTATATTTTGCAATTTCCTGTGCAGTAATTAATTAGGAAACGAAAGATGAAGAAAAATTAAGAAGTACTAAGCCTAATCAAGGTTTCGTCTTCGGTTTGAGATGCAACTCGAAGACCCCCTAATATTTTCCCGAAGAAGCAGGAGATAAGCTTCAATCTTCTCCGTCTGCGTCGAAGGCTTGCGTCGTTCGTCTGGCAGCGATGGTGGGCATTCAGGATTCAGGTGGGCGGTACGACACATGAGCGAACGGTACGGCGCGCTCCGAAATACGAGGCACTAGTTAGTCGTGACTCAGTCTCGCTGGGTCGTACGCTCGCTAGACGACCGAAATCCTTGACAGTGACAGCGCGATCATATCCCGTATGTGGTTTCCATGTGTAGTGTTTTGGTGTAGACAGCTTTTCTATGTGTGTGTGTGTGTGTCGGGTGTAGTGGACGTGACACCTAATTTTGCGTACATAAATGTTTTTTTTTTATTATTTATTTATTTATTTATTTTAAAATTGTTCATTTTATGCATTCATTAGTTATTCATTCTGACAATCTTATATTGTTATTATTTTTTCTGTCTGTCTCAAAGAAAATGATATCCTCTGATGTGAATTCAGATGTCCCTTCTTTTTTGTTTATTTATTTATTTATTCAATCCCATTTTGAATGTCTTTTGTCATCTGTGTGTAAATAGATTTAGAGGTTCCATCTGGATTTTTCCCTTGTCTAGCCTAACGAGGAGAGGTAAGTACGACTTTCCTTGTGTGTTGCAAAGGAGACTAATATTTCTCTTGTCTGAGTGAATCTGTCGAAATTTATGTGAGGAATTGATATACATGCAAACACACACATACACACACACACACACACACACACACACACACACACACACACACACACACACACACACACACACACACACACACACACACACACACACACACACATACACACACACACACACACATATATACACACATACACATATATATGTAGATGTATATATATTGATATGTGTATGTCTTTCTCTCCCTCTGATGATAGTAATACAGATAACGATAATTATGACTCTAATGACAATAACTCGGACAGTAATGATAATTAGGATAGTATTGTTATTGATGATAATGACAGCATTAGCGATATCAAAGATTATGATAATAAAAGTAATGATAATACTTGTGATGATGATGATAGTAATAATGACAATGGTCAAGATGATAATAGCAGAGATATGTTAATAATAATAATAATCATAATTATAATAATCGCAAGAAATAATAACAATGATGATGATGATAATGATAATGGAGATGATGACGATAATACTAATAGTGAAAATGATAATGATATTTATTATAACAAAGATGATGATAACAGTGATGAAATATTCAGAAATGATAATGATAATATTGGTAATAATAGTAGTGATAATGGTAATGATAATGGTAATAATGGTAATGATAACAATAATGACAATGAGAATGATAATGCTAGTAGTAGTAGTAGTCATGGGAATTGTAGTAATAATTATAATAATAACAATAATAATAATGGAAATAACAATAACAATAACAATAAAAATATATAACAACAAAAACTGCTATTACTATTGTTACTACTACTATAAAACAATAATAATAGTTATAATATTGATAATGATAATACTGATAATGATTATTATTCTAGTACTATTACTACTACTACTACTACTACTAACGATAATAACAATAATAGTGATAGTAATGATAATGATAATAATAATGATAATGATAATAGAATAATGATAGTAATGATAGTATTAATAATGTTAACAATCATCATATTAATGAAAATGATAGCAATGATAATGATTTTACAAATGATAATAATGATAATGATAATGATAACAATGACAATGAGAATACTAATACTAACAATGATGGTGATAATAATTATGATAATAATAATAATAATAATAATAGCGATAACAATAATAGCATTAATAATAATAATAATAATAATTGTAATCATAATAATAAAAAATAATGAAAATAATAATAATAATAATGATAATATTAGTGATAATTACAATAGTAATAATGATAATGATAATAACAATAAGACAATAATAATTATGATGCTTGTAATAATAATAATGATAATAAATATAATAATAATCATAATGATAAAGCATAAAAATAACAATAAAATCATAATATGAAATAGAATAATGAAATAAAAATAAGGATGATGATGATAATAATAATGGTAATAATGATGAAAGTAATAATAATAATGATAATAATAATAATAATAATAATAATAATAATAAAAACAATAATAATAATAATGATAGTAACAACGGTAATGATTATGATAAAGATTATGATAATGATGATAATAATGATAATAATAATAATAATAATAATAATAATGACAATGATAATAATAATAAAAATAATAATAATAATAATAATAACAATGACAATAATTATATTAATACTGATAACAATAATGATTATGATAATGATAGTAATAATGATGATAGTAATAATAATAATAATAATAATAATAATAATGATAATAATAATGATAATAATATTAACAACAACAACAATAATAATAATTATAATAATAATGATAATAATAACAACAACAACAACAACAATAATAATAATAGTAATAATAATAATAATAATCATGATCACAATGATAATAATAATAATAATGGCAATATTAATTGTAATGATACTACTATTAGTACTACTACTAATGATAATAATAATGATAACAACAACAATAATAATAATAATAATAATAATAATGATGATAATAATAATAATGATCATAATAATAATAATGGCAATATTAATAGTAATGATACTACTATTAGTACTACTACTAATGATAATAATAATGATAACAATAATAGTAATAATAATAATAAGGATAATAATAATGATGATAATAAAGAAAATAATGATAATAATAATAACAATCATGATAATAATAAGAATGATAACAATAATTATGATAAGAGTAAAAGCCATAATGATAATAATAATGATGATAATAATAGTAATAATAATAATAATAATGATGATAATGATAATAATAATAATAATTATAATAATAATAATAATAATAATAATGATAATAATAATAATAATGTGATAGTATATATATATATATATATATATATATATATATATATATATATATATATATATATATATGTACATATGTCTCTCTATCTATCTTTCTATATATATATATACATACTCGTATGTATGCATGTCTGTGTATATATGTGTATATATTTGAACATACATGGTTTGGATACACTTACATCTCGACCTGGCGCAAATCAAGTTAGTGTCTTAACATGAGAAATGAGGAACTTGCTTCGAAAACACTCTCCGGCACACCTCGAAAGGAACTCTTGGGTCTTACACACACATTTCCATTATATCTCCTCTCAGGAACTCTCAAAGGGAATGCATAGATGAAAAGAATGAAGTGAAAAGAAGTCTTTCAACATTACGCTGTTAGTCGGAGAAAATCCATGGGACACGGGGGAGGGTAAGGTAGGGTGCGGTGGGAGGTGGGGGGGTAGGAGAAAAGAACCTGGTGAGAGGGAGAAATAAAGCAAGGAAGATCAAGGAGAATAAGGGAAGAGGAGAGGGAGAAAAGGAAAAAGGGAGGGGGAGACATGAGAAAACGAAGGAGAGAAAAGGGAGAGAAAGACACGGAAAAGGATGTTGATTAATCAAAATAAATAAAAGAAGGGTATAGAAAGAGGAAAGAGAAGGAATATATAAGATTAAAAGGAAAGGGAGATGGAATAGAAAAGAAATAGCCAAAGTCGAAGGCATAGTTAACAAACGACGTTATAGAAGCGAAATATCGGTAAGAAAGAATACCTTTCTAAGTGATATCTGATAAACAGGCATTTTGGAATTTTGTTTATGTTATCACTGAATTAAATGCTATTGAAAATGGTTGGCAATGACGATGAGGATATTACTAATGACGGCGTTGATAACAATAAAAAAACGATGGTGTTAATAGTCATGGGAATAATAATTGTTCTACCTCATTGGTTTCTAACATTTTTATTCTGTGATCCCGACTAATAAGCTCCATGGCCCCGTTCAATGACTTATCTTTTCAGATTTATTTATTACTAGTAATGAACAGTGCAATGGTGTCAGTGGCTATAGGCCAAGAACACTTTATGAAAAGATTCCAGTTTATTGATATGTGAGAGATGATTATATGTAGGTATTGTAGGTTAGATAAAATTCAGTTTAATTCGACGCCATAATTCACATATTACTCCATGGCTCTCAGAAAGTACCTCGTGGCCCATGATGCTCTATATTTTTTCCTGACGTCGATATTCCTGACTGTTCTCCCCCACCTAGTCCGGTCACAGGCATCACTTTAGGGTAACATATTTCCTCCCAAATCATTCCCTATGCTATTCATACATTTCTGCTTCGTCCTCCCACCTCCCCCCTCATCTTCCACCTCATAGTTCCATTTACATATCTCTCCTCCTACGCATGGTTCGTCGCTTCTGATCACACAGGGACACGAATACAACCACTGCCTACACCGTCTTCCTACCTTCTTCCGTAAGATATTTCCACTTCTTTCTTTGGTCCGCTTATTTACTTATTCCTGACATGATCCACTTCCGATGCTCCGAATTTCCCTCTCTCCACACCATATACATCTCTATCAATATTCATCGCCCACATATTCTTCACTTACGGTTTTCTTCGCTGTACGTCTAGCATCTTTTTCTGCTTCCTCCACTGACCCTCCTTCGATCCCATATATGATGTCTAGCCATGATCTTAGCACTGCTTGTACGTTCACAGAGAGACATAGACATTTTTTTTGTTTAGTTATCCCATAAGGGTGGTAATCATGATATCGATGAAGAAAACAGCGATATCAATAACAGTAACAGAATATAATGGTAAAAATATATTCATAATGTTTTTATATTGATGATAATGATGATGCTGATAATGCTGATAACGATAACATATATTATGGAGATGGAGATAATAACAACAACAAAACAATAACTGCAAAAATAATAATGTCATTGAAGGTAACGTCTTACAACAGAATCGGTAAAATATTTCTCTGATATGGGCATCCCTAAAAGGATAAACCTGTGACCTTCAACTACAAAGTGGAGAATATATAATCCGATGGATTTCAAACAACACCGCATATTCCCTTATAACGAAATGTAAATTCATACACTAATTTGAATTAATTTGTAAGGAAAAAAGATGCTTTGGAAAAATGAAAGAGAACAAACCTTTTAATGTTATTGAAACTAGATGACAACTTACAACAAAACG